CTTTACTCTGGGTCTGAGCGCTGTCCCTCAGCTCTTTTTTTTATTTTTTATTTTTTTTTTGGTCGGTCGTGGGGCTTGAACTCTGGGCCTGGGCGCTGTCCCTCAGCTCTTCAGCTCAAGGCGAGCCCTCTACCACTTGAGCTACAGCACCACTTCCGGTTTCCTGGTGGTTTATTGGAGATAGGAGTCTCACGGTCTCTCCTGCCCGGGCTGGCTTGAACCGCGATCCTCAGATCTCAGCCTCCTGAGTAGCTAGGATTACAGGTGTGAGCCACCAGCGCCTGGCTACGACTGGCATTTCTTTAGCATTCTTAAGTCCAGTTGAAATTCTACCCCCAGCTGGGTACTGGTGGCTGACACCTGTTATACTAGCTACTCAGGAGGCTGAGATATGAGGGTTGTGGTTTGAAGCCAGCCTAGGCAGGAAAGCCAGTGAGACCCTTTATCTTTAATAACCAAAAACAAAAAAAAAAAGTGGAGCCTTGGCTCAAGTGGTAGAATGCTAGTGTTGAGCTAAAAAGCTCAGGGACAATTCTTAGGCCCTGAGCGTGTGCGCACACACACACACACACACACACACACTCTGAAGGTTCTGAATTGTATACTTTTTTTTCCTCTGACTTCCACAAACACACACACATACTCTGAAGCTTCTGAATTGTATACTTTTTTTTCCTCTGACTTCCATGGTGCTTAATTGGACATCTGCTATTGCCTTTAAGTACCTTATCAGAAAGGTGCTTCGCTGTTTATGGGCTTTGACTAGTTTGACACTGTCTTGTAAGTGTCCTTACAGAATGTGACTGACCTATCTTTTTATTCAGTACTCCCATAGCAGCTGATTCCAAATGCTTGAGCAGTTGGTTTTGCCTGTCAGTATCTTTTAGAAGAATCGCAATGTAGGCTGTCTTGAGTGCTTTCCTTGCTTGTCTCTCATGTTTTACTTCGTCCCTTTCTCCCTTTGTGTCAAGTCCCTACTTTGTAGCCTTGTGTTCTGTCAACCTTTCTCAGTGCTTCATATATATAATTTTTTTTTTGCTAGTCTTGGGACTTGAACTCAGGGCCTAGGCACTTTCCCTGATTTTCTTTTGGTTCAAGGCTAGCACTGTGCCACTTGAACCACAGCGCCACTTCTGTCTGGCCTTTTCTGTTTATGTGGTACTGAAGAATCGAACCCAGGGCTTCATGCATGCTAGGCAAGCACCCTACCACAAATCCATGTTCCCAGCCCCATTATTCATATTTTAAAAGTGATTTTTTTTTTTTTTTGTCACTTGTGGGACTTGGACTCAGAGCTCTTTTTGCTCAAAACTGAGCGCTCTACCGTTTGAGCCACAGCGCTACTTCCAGTTTTCTGAGTGGTTTATTGGAGATAAGAGTCTCACAGAGAGCCGGGTGCTGGTGGCTCACGCCTGTAATCCTAGCTACTAAGGAGGCTGAGATCTGAGGATCGCGGTTCAAAGCCAGCCCGGGCAGGAAAGACCGTGAGACTCCTATCTCCAATAAACCACCAGAAAACCGGAAGTGGCGCTGTAGCTCAAGTGGTAGAGCGCTCGCCTTGAGCTGAAGAGCTGAGGGACAGCGCCCAGGCCCAGAGTTCAAGCCCCACGACTGACAAAAAAAAAAAAAAAAAAAAGAGTCTCACAGAGTTTCCTGCCCCGGCTGGCTTGGAACTGTGATCATCAGATCTCAGCCTCCCGAGTAACTAGGATTACAGGTGTGAGCGATTGGTGCCTGGCAGAAATGATTTTTTTAAAAATAGGGTTTTTTAATTTTTATTTTTGGCAGTGTACTGGGATTTGAATTCAGGGTTTTGTATTTGCTAAGCAAGCACTATACCACTTGAGCTATACCCTCAGCCCTTTTTGCTATAGGTTATTTTTCAGATAGGCTTGCATGCTTTTGTCCCACCTGGCTCCTGATCTACTGCTGCTTCCTAAGTATCTGGGATTACAGATGTACTCCACCATAACTATCTTGTGTATGTGTTTGGGGCTTGAATTCAGGGCCTGGGTACTGTCCTTGAGTTTTTTAGCTTACGGCTAGTGCTCTACCACTTTAGCCACAGTTTCACCTCTGGCCTTTTGGTGGTTAGAGATAAGAGTGTCAGGGACTGTCCTGCCTGGGCTGGTGTTTTGTTTTTTTTTTTTTTTGGTCGGTCTGGGCTTGAACTCTGGGCCTGTGTCCCTGAGCTCTTCAGCTCAAGGCAAGTGTTCTACCAGTTGAGCCACAGCTCCACTTCCAGTTTTTTTGTTTTTTTTTTTGGGTCCGGTCGTGGGGCCTGAACTCTGGGCCTGGGCGCTATCCCTCAGCTCTTCAGCTCAAGGCTAGTGCTCTACCACTTGAGCCATAGCGCCACTTCCGGCTTTTTTCTTTTTGCTTATGTGGTGCTGGGGAATCGAACCCAGGGCCTCAGGCATGCAAGGCAAGTGCTCTACCACTGAGCCACCTTCCCAGCCCCTACTTCCAGTTTTCTAGTGGTTAATTGGAGATAAGAGTTTCACATACTTTCTGCCCAGGCTGGCTTTGAACTGTGATCCTCAGAACTCAGCCTTCTGAGTAACTAGCCCAGCCTAGGCTGATTTTGAATTCCTCACATCTTAGCCTCCTGTTTAGCTAGAATTACAGGGGTGAGCCACTGATGCCTGGTCACCTGTCTTGTTTGTTGAGAAACAGCCTTGCTAACTTTTTTACCTGGAGTTGAGCTGGTCTGTCTGCTAACTGGAATCTTCCTGGCTCTGTCTCTGGAGTAGCTGGTAGTTCTTTATATAACTGGATGTATATCCCTTGTCAGAATTTGTATGGAATGTGCATGTATTTTCTCCCATCCTAGGAATTGTCTTTTCACTTTCTTGGTGATACTGTCTTTTTGATTCAAAAGTTTTCAGGTAGAGGGGTTGGGAAGGTGGCTCAGTGGTAGAGCACTTGCCTTGCATGCATGAGGCCCTCGGTTTGATTCCTCAGCACCACATAAGCAAAAAAACTAAAAAGCCGGAAGTGGTGCTGTGGCTCAAGTGGTAGAGCGCTAGCCTTGAGCTGAGGAGCTGAGGGACAGCGCCCAGGCCCAGAGTTCAGGTGCCATGACCGGGCCCAAAAAAAAGTTTTCAGGTAGATGATGTAGTCTAATATATATACATTTTGTTGCATTTGCTTTTGTGTTCATACCTAAGAAGCCACTGCCTTCCCTAATGGATTTTAAGAGGTCTATCTATGCTGATATTGGGGCTTCTTGCTTAGCTTTTTCACTCAAGGCTGGAGTGCTACCATTTATTTATTTATTTATGTGCTTGTACTGGGGTTTGAACTCAAGGCCTCACACTCTGACATTTTGCTCATGGCTGGCACTCTGCCACTTGAGCTATACCTCTAATTTTGGCTTTTTAATGGTTAACTGGGGATGAGAGCCTCTAGGTTTTGTCTGTCTAGGCTGCCTATGAGCCTCGATTCTCTGATCTCAGTTTCCTGAATAGCTTAGAATTCCAGGTGTGAGCCACTAGCATACCGGTCTTCTTTTGGTCACTTTTATGTGAAACTAGCTTTCTTGAACTTCATGTGAGTCAGAATACTTTTTTTCATAGCTCTAGAGCTCCCTCTTCTGTTGCTTTCATGAGGTGTGTTCAAAATAGCATTCAGGATTACAGAGATCTGGCTTGTCTATTTTGCTTTTTTGAGACTGTCTTTCCTCTGTTCCTGGTATCCATATGTTCCTTTATAGAAGTTCATAATAGATATAAAATGAAGACAAATGATTCCTGGTCCTGTTGCTCACATTATGCTATTTCTTTCTTTTTGGCAGTTCTGGGGTTTGAACTTACAGCAGGTGTTTTATCTCTTGAGAAACACACCCAATGTTACACTCCCCAGCCTGTAGTTTTATTCTTTTATTACTAGTGTTGTTATTAAATAGTTGTACAAAGGTGTTACAGTTCCATAAGTGAGATTATGAGTACAATGCTTCTTGGTCAGAGTCACCCCTTCACTCATTGTCCCCCATTTTTCCCTGCCATCCTTATCCATTTTTTATAAAACGAAGATTGAATATAATGACTACTTTTGCTTGCCCTTCATTCATTCCTGTGGTCATGTTTTTCCCCCAACATGTTTCATACTCATTTTGTTGAATGAAAAACTAATATTCACTAGTTGTTCGAAGGAATTACACTGTTGGGCTTCTCCCATACGTATACTATCCTTACAATTTGTTTGTGTGTATATGCATATAACCCCTGTATATGTGACTGTGTATATTTGTATATTAGCTGTAACTTCTACATATGAAAGAAAACATGTCCTATTTGTCTCTGAACTTCATTTAATTTGTCTTGGTCCATCCATTTCCCTGCATATGTCATAATTTATTCTTCCCAGTGGATGAGAAAAATTCTGTTGTATATATGAACCACATTTTTGTGATCTACTCATTTGTTGTAGGGCATCTGGGTTTTTCCAAAGCTTGGCTGTTGTGAATAGTGCAGCAGTGAACATGAATGTGCAAGTGTCTTCTCTGTGTTCTGACCTGTAATGCTGGGGTAGATGCCCAGGAGTGGTATCACTGCATTTAGGGTAGTTCCTTTTTTTGAGGGAGAGGGGGGACGGTCCAGTGGTGGGCCTGAACTCTGGGCCTGGGCACTGTCCCTCAGCTCTTCAGCTCCAGGCTAGTGCTCTACCACTTGAGCCACGCACCACTTCTGGCTTTTTTTTCTGCTTATGTAGTGCTGAGAAATCGAACCCAGGGCCTCATGCATGCAAGGCAAGCGCTCTACCACTGAGCCACCTTCCCAGCCCTGTAGGTTGGTTCTATGCTTGTTTTTTTTTAGGAATCTCCAAACCATCTTTCAGAGTGGTTGCTCTAGTTCACATTCTCATTAATCTTGAAGTAAGGGTTCTTTTTTCCCTCTCAACCCCACCAGCATTTGTTTTCATATTCTTGATGATGGCCAGTCTTGCAACCCTAATAGTACTGATGAGAATTTGAGGAACTTGTGTTTTGTTTTGTGTAGGGGAGCCAGGAAGTGGGACAGAAAGTGATACCTCTCCAGACTTCCACAATCAGGAAAATGAGCCCACCCAAGAGGACCCTGAGGATCTGGATGGATCTGTGCAGGGGGTGAAGCCTCAGAAGGCAGCTTCTTCGACGTCCTCAGGGAGTCACCACAGCAGCCACAAAAAACGGAAGAATAAAAACCGGCACAGGTCAGTGGCAGAAACCTTGCTTCCCAGAGCTCCCGTGACCATTGCTGGGAAGGGGTTTGGAGAGCAAAGTGCTTTCAGGTTGTTGCCAGAGCCTTTCTGGTGCCAGGGTCGGGGGCTGGGGTAGAAATTCCTTCAGTATTCTCTAAAGGATAGAGTTGGTGGGCAGTAGAATAATTCTGGAGGATGACTAGGGCATCTTAAGCTCTTTGTGCAGAATGAAATTGCCAAAATATCTGCTAATGTGGTCAGTTTGGATTCCTTTGAGAAGAGAAAAAGAAATAGAAGTAGAATCTGTGTGGTAACACTTGAAAAATGGAATAAAGTATTTGGTTGGCTCTTACTCCTGATCCCTTGACTACTTTTATTTTTATTTTTAATTTATTTATTTTTCTGTTGGTCATGGGCCTGAACTCTGGGCCTGGGCACTGTCCCTCGGCTCTTCAGCTCAAGGCTAGCGCTCTACCACTTGAGCCACAGTGCCACTTACAGCTTTTTCTGCTTATGTGGTACTGAGGAATCAAACCCAGGATCTCATGCATGCAAGGCAAGTACTTTACCACTGAGCCACCTTTCCAGCCCCCCACCTTGACTATTTTTAGAAGAACTGATTGGGCATTGCCTTTTGGGGTTGGGGGAATGCCAGTACTGGGGCTTCAACTCAGGGCCTGGGCATTGTCCCTGAGCTTCTTTTGCTCAAGGCTAGCACTCTACCACTTGAGCCACAGTCCCACTTTGGCTTTTTCTCTGTTCATGTGATACTGAGGAATTGAATCCAGGGCTTCATGCATGGTAAGCACTCTACGACTAAGCCACATTCCCAGCCTGACTCTTAGCTTTTTATCTCTCAAGATGGTGCTCTACCACGTGAACCACAACTCTACTTCTGTCTTTTTGCTGGTTAATTGGACATGAGAGTCTCATGGACTTTCATGCTCCAGATCACTTCAAACAGGGATTCTCCAATCTCAGCCTTCTAAGTAGCTAGGATTACAGGTATGGCCACCAGTGCCTGACTCCATTGCCATTAAAAAAAAAAAAAAGATTTCTGGGAATGGAGGCATGGCTATTTGGTAGAGTGCTAGCCAGTGAGCAAAAACAGTGGCAGGTACTAAGTTTGAGTCCTCATCTCAGACCTTAAAAAAACAAAACAGCCAGGCGCCGGTGGCTCACGCCTGTAATCCTAGCTACTCAGGAGGCTGAGATCTGAGGATCATGGTTCAAAGCCAGCCTGGGCAGGAAAGTCTGTGAAATTCTTTTTTTTTTGGGGGGTCCGGTCGTGGGCCTGAACTCTGGGCCTGGGCGCTGTCCCTCAGCTCTTCAGCTCAAGGCTAGCGCTCTACCACTTGAGCCACAGCACCACTTCCGGGTTTTTTCTTTTTGCTTATGTGGTGCTGAGGAATTGAACCCAGGGCCTCATGCATGCAAGGAAAGCGCTCTACCACTGAGCCACCTTCCCAGCCCAAGTCTGTGAAATTCTTTTTTTTTTTTTTTGTCAGTCGTGGGGCTTGAACTCTGGGTCTGGGCGCTGTCCCTCAGCTCTTCAGCTGAAGGCGAGTGCTCTACCACTTGAGCTACAGCGCCACTTCCGGTTTTCTGGTGGTTTATTGGAGATAGGAGTCTCATGGTCTTTCCTGCCCCGGCTGGCTTTGAACCGAGATCCTCAGATCTCAGCCTCCTGAGTAGCTAAGATTACAGACGTGAGCCACCAGCGCCCAGCAAGTCTGTGAAATTCTTATCTCCAATAAACCACCAGAAAACTAGAAGTGGCGCTGTAGGTCAAGTGGTAGAGTGCTAGCCTTGAGCTGAAGAGCTGAGGGACAGAGCTCAGGCCCAGAGTTCAAGCCCCACAACGGACAAAAAACAAACAAAAAAAGAAATGAGGCTGGGAATGTGGCTTAGAGGTAGAGTGCTTGCCTTACATGCATGAAGCCCTGGGTTCAATTTCTCAATACCACATAAGCAGAAAAAGGCAGAAGTAGCGCTCAAGTGGTAGAGTGCTAACCCTGAGCAAAAGAAGCTCAGGGACAGTGCTCAGGCCCTGAAATCAAGCCTCCAGGATTGGCCAAAAAAAAAAAAAAGAAGGTGGTCTGGGAAGGTGGCTCAGTGGTAGAGCGCTTGCCTTGCATGCATGAGGCCCTGGGTTTGATTCCTCAGCATCACATGAACTGGAAAAAAAAAGCCGGAAGTGGTGCTATGGCTCAAGTGATAGCGTGCTAGCCTTGAGTTGAAGAGTTGAGGGACAAGGCCCAGGCCCAGAGTTCAGGTCTCCTCCCCCCACAAAAGAAGATTCCTTTCTTAATTTCAAGATGTCTAGAATAGGGAGGAAATTCCTTGAGAGTGGAACCAGGTGCTGGTAGCTCATGTCTGTAATTATAGCTTATCCCAGAGGCTGAGATCTGAATATTGAGGTTCAAAGCCAGCCAGGGCAGATAAATCCCTGAGACTTATTTCTGACTAACGAACAAAAAATCAGAATTGAAGGTATGGCTCAAGTGATAGAGTTCTAGCCAAGACTGCAAAATGCCAAATAAGAGCTCAGGCCCCTAAGTTTTCAGATCCCAGTTCTGGCACCAAAAAAATTTTAAAAAAGAAAAAGAAAGGGGCTGGGAAGGTGGCTCAGTGATAGAGCACTTGCCTTGCATGCCTGAGGCCCTGGGTTTGATTTCTCAGCACCACATAAGCAAAAAGAAAAAAGCCGAAAGTAGCACTGTGGCTCAAGTGGTAAAGCGCTAGCCTTGAGCTGAAGAGCTGAGGGACAGTGCCCAGGCCCAGAGTTCAAGCCCCACAACCCGACCCCCTCCCAAAAAAAAAAAAAAAGAAGAAAAAGAAGTATCTCAGAATTTCCACTACTAATCAGATAGTCTCTTTAGATAGATGGTCATTTCACTAATGATGTGATCAACTGATGATGATCAAAGGCATTAAGAGAGTTCTAAATTTCCATGAGAACAACACTTCTTTCTTATTTTGTATTCTCCTGGTCCTAGGTACTCCAGACAAACTAGTATTATAAAGATTGCTGGTGTTACTGCTTTCACACATGTTTTTCTTTTTTTTATTTAGACAGCATGATCCTAGCCTTTTTATTCTTTCCCACTATATAACATCTGGCAGATTTCCCTCCTTGGCCTTAGGTGCTTGATTGATCCAAGGGAGAAGAGTGGAGCTGAGTTGCTTTTTATTTCTCAGGAAGCCAGTTTCAGAGCCTCCTAAGTGGTTCCTCAAGAAGCATTAAAGGTTGTTGGAATCTTGTCAGTTACATAGGCAGGGATTGTGTCTGGCCTAACACTCTGATCGGATTGATGGCTAGTCTGCTGACAGATAGGGGTAGGATGGAGCATGTTGTCTGTATACACTGGTAAGTTGGCCTCCAGAACCAGTGCTGCTTTCTTCTTCAGAGACAGCAGTGAACTGTTTCAATAGATGTTTGAGTCCTTAATATGTTTCAGGCACTTAGAAGTAAATATGCTGCTTAAAAAATGATTAGTTTTTAATTAATTGTACACTGAAGGCTTCATTGAGATATTGCTATATATATGTATATCATATACTTTTATTATTTTTTGTGTATGTGCCAATACTGGTGCTTGAACTCAAGTCCTTGAGCTCTCCCATAATTGGAAGTAAGAGTGCTAAGAGTCTTACAGAGTTTTCTGCCCAGGCTGGCTTTGATCCTCAGATCCCACTTTTTTTTGGGGGGGGGGAGGGGTCCAGTCGGGGGCCTGAACTCTGGGCCTGGGCACTGTCCCTCAGCTCTTCAGCTCAAGGCTAGCACTCTACCACTTGAGCCACAGCGCCACTTCTGGCTTTTTTTCTTTTTGCTAATGTGGTGCTGAGGAATGGAACCCAGGGCCTCAATGCATGCAAGGCAAGCACTCTACCACTGAGCCACCTTCCCAGCCCCGAGATCCCACTTTTTTGTGGGGGAAGTGTACTTACTGGGCTTTGAATTTAGGGCCTTGTTCTTGGTGTAGGTATCTTTTGCTTCCCTTCCCTCTCATTCCTCCCCCCCCTCTTTCTTTTTTGCCAGTCCTGGAGCTTGACCTCTGGGGCACTGTCCCTGAGCTTCTTTTGCTTAAGGCTAGCATTTTACTACCTTGAGCCACAGCTCTACTTCCAGCTTTTTCTGTGACTAATTGGAGATGAGTCTCACAGACTTTCCTGCCTTGGCTGGCTTTGAACCACAATCCTCATATCTCAGCTTCTTGAGTACCAAGGATTACAGGTGTGAGCCACTGGTACCTGGCTCCTCTCCCTTTTTTTAATCTTTTGAGACAGGGTCTCACTGTATAACTCAGGTAGGCTTCATACTTACTGTGTAGCCTGTGCTGTGCTGGTCTTGAACTCGTAATTCTTCTACATTAGCCTTTCAAATGCACATACTGCTATGTTCAGCATCAAACTCACATTTTGACTAAGTAGGCGTACACTCTTACTATTTTCAACTTAGATATAGAATCTAGATCCTTATGCATAGTAAGCATGCTTCTACCAATGAGTTACCTTTTCACCCCACCTCCAGCTTAATTTGTGAACATAGTAAAGTCAGTCTAAAAGTCAAAAGCATTTTTGTACTTCAATTTTGTATACTCAGTACATAATTTCCCAAACGTATAAATGAAGGAAGTTGGAAGGAGTTAAGCTTTCTTCCAACTTTACTGTTACATTTTCTAGAAGAAAAATGCAGTATTTGCATATTGTTTACCACCTGAGTAAAGAAGCAAGGAGCAGGTATCATTCTGTAGGTTAATGTTTGCTTTGGAGATCTGCCCAAACAAGGATCTGTTAGTGCAAATTTTTGGCCTCCTTCATGTACTCATATTACACAACCTCCAGGGCTTGGGTGCTTATGGATGTCAGCTTTTTTTGTTTTGATAGGGGCTCTGCAGACTTCACTATTCCCTAGTTGTTGCCCTGATGTAAACAGGTGACTGCCATCACCAAATTTCCAGGCAGAATATTACCTGCTCTTCACGTCTGGATCAAGATACTACTGCTGGAGTTTATTCGTGGACCCCTTGGCTTCTAGAATGGCTACTGTAGCAAAGGAGCACAGTGTTCTTGGTTGGACATATTTAGAAGTTTAGAACTTATAACTTAATCAGAAAAATTGGAAAATGCTTTTCCTTTTTAAAGGTTGAAATAATTTTTGTCATCTTTTGTTTTAATGAAACTTTGTTGTGCTGAGTTGTTTATAAGCACTTTTTATTATGTGACTAAACTCTACTTCGTTCTGTTCTTTCTAATGCTCTAATTATGTTTTCTAGTACAAATGTTTCAAAAGCTCTAACTCTGAATCTAGCAGCTCATAAAAGGGCTCTATAGGTATATGTAGTTTTCTAATGAAATAACTTTCTTTTATTGTCTGTTTTTCTGCTATTGACTCTGGAGGGAAGGGAATCACACAATCTTCGGTGCTTTGATGTTTGAAACTTTATGGCTTAAAATTCTTAAAGCTGATTTTGTTTCTATAAACCTTGCTTAGAATGGCTAATTGACTAATTTATTCAATTAGTGTATTAATTTCTATTGCTTTCTTTCTTTCAAATGCTGCCCCTCAGCCCGTCTGGCATGTTTGATTATGACTTTGAGTAAGTTTGATTTGAATTAGTATTTGTGCTGTGTTGTTTAGTGTATAGATGCTGGTATGCCTTTTTGAGACCTTTCTAACCCATAGTTTATCTGTTTAATTGTAGGTATGTATATTAGGTTAGGCTGGGAAGTTTTTTTTAAAAACAGAAAAACGTGATGGAGGTAACATTTTATTTAATAACTTAAGCAAACTTAAGTAAACTTCACTTTTATGCCTTTTAATTTCTTTTAAATAGATAACCTTTACTTTTAATTCATATTTAAATTATTTCCTGGCTTTGCTTCATAAGAATAGTTTTAAGATTTTGATGCTGTATTTTGGAGAGATTTAAAAATTGAGATTAAGTAACTTCTGTTGTATTTTATATCCAGAGTACAAACTCCTGTTCTCTCTGCTGTTGCTAGTCATCATGTGTCTCAGTAATGCTCAGTGATAAAGTTATAGAGCTAACATGTTAACATAGAGCATGCTTTCTTAATCCAATCTCATTAACATGTAATTTTGCAATAGTGTTTAGAAATTAATATAACCTTCATAACTGCAGTATATTTCTTTTTTGAGTTATCTAAGTTTGCCTTATGGCAAAAGTACCTGCTTATATTTTTAAATACTTGCTTGATTGTATCTGGGTAAACAACTAAATGTGACATAGTCTAATGAAGAATGTGGATTTTACTTAACCAAATAGCCTTTGTTATAGCTTGTCCTATGCAGTAGCTGATTGTTAGACCCTTTTTCTGTAAATTAAAATGCAAATATTTTTTAATTTTTCCTATCACAGGATTGATCTGAAGTTAAACAAAAAGCCACGAGCTGTAAGTATCAGCCAAATAACTCAGGGAGGCCGGCAGTTTTTCATGTTTACTTAAATTTTTTTTGTTCTGGGGAATCAAACCTAGGGCCTCAAACCTAGGGTGAGTGCTCTACCACAGAGCCACATCCCCAGCCCAGAATCTGGCATTTTTGTAGATTGTTAGAACAATGTAATATCTTCAGAGTTTGGGTTGCTCCTAATCTGGAAAGGAAAAGTGCAGCCATTTGTATATTGTTTATTACCTGTCTACAATCTAAAAGGTGTTAGAACCAACAAGGAGCAGGTGACTCTGGGTCACATTCTTCTTTTAAAGTCCCAGCGTGAAGTGGAGATTGAGAGAATTGAAGTTTAAGGATAGCATAGGCAAAAAAGTTAGTAGCATCCCATTCCCACCCTCTACTCTCAGTTTCAACTAACAAGCTAGGTGTGGTAATTGCATACCTGTGATTCTAGCTACACAGGAGGCTGTAGATAGAAGGATCAAGGTCTGAAGTCAGCCTGAACAAAACCGCTTGACCCTACTTGAAAAGTACCTGAAAGCAAGAAAAAGCTGAAGGTGTTGCTCTTGATAGAGCGCAAACTGAGGTCCTGTCAAATCCCACTACCATTCCCCCTCTCCCCCCCCCCAAAAAAAAAAAAAACAAAAACCAGATTATCCATCTGGATACGCTTTGGTTGTTATTTACTTTTTTGTATTTTAGATAAAGGTCATGCACTTTTTGTGTGTGATACTGGGTATTGAACACTGGTTCACACAGCCTCTTTTGGATTGCTTATTTCTAAAATAGGGTTTTGATTTATGTCTGGCTGTGCTGTGATTCTTCTGCTTGTTCCCTGTATTGCTAGGGATGATATGTGCTCTGCTGTAGCAGAGATCACAGGTGTCTGCCACCTCTCCTGGTTGGGATGGAATCTCACATACTGTTATGCCTGAGTTAACCTTGAACAGAGTCACCCCAATCTCAAACTTCAAAGTATCTACGATTAGAAGCTTGAGCCACTTAGCCTGGCTCACAAATTTTTTTTTTTTAGTCCGGTCGTGGGGACTGAACTCTGGGTCTGGGCGCTGTCCCTCAGCTCTTCAGCTCAAGGCTAGCGCTCTACCACTTGAGCCACAGCGCCACCTCCGGCTTTTTTCTTTTTGCTTATGTGGTGCTGAGGAATCGAACCTAGGGCCTCAGGCATGTAAGGCAAGCGCTCTACCACTGAGCCACCTTCCCAGCCCTGGCTCACAAACTTTTAAAAACATTTTTTGGTACTGGGGCTTGTACTCAGGGCCTGGGAGCTGTCCCTGAGATGTTTTGATCAAAGCTGGTGCTCTACCACTTGACAAAGCTCCATTTCTGGCCTTTTGGTGGCTAATTGGATATCAGAGTCTCATGAACTTTCCTGCTTCAGTTGGCTTTGCACCACAGCCCTCAGATCACAGCCTCCTGAGGAACTAGGATTACAGGTGTGAACCACCAAAACCTGGCTCATACACATTTTTAGTGAAGAAAGATTCCTGCTGATTAATAGATTGGTTTTTTTTTTTCTTGCTTTCTTTTCTTTTTTTGACTTTCTAGTTTAGGTGCTCTAGTAAGGTCAGAATTGATGTTCGTTCCTTTATGGACATGGAGACAAGCCATTTTCAGATGTGATATACAGTTCAGTGCATTTGAACTAAACTCTTCTGCTACAAAACAATCCCCAAGCACAGATGTTTATGTGATTTTTTTTTTCCCCCTCTTACTTCTGCTGAGAGTAAGTTGCTACTTTTCCCTTTCTTTCTTTTTAGGACTATTAGAAGACTGTTTAGTGCAGAAGTATCCAGGCTGTAGAGTCCTGCCTCCCGTCTCCAGTCTCACGGAGATAAACGTCCCTCACTTGAGTGCGTGGCCGCCCACCTCTGCTCTCCCAGACCCAGTGCCTGTGACTCTTGAGTACTTTGTTCTAAATGTGGTGAAAGTCTTTTCAGCAAGATACTGGATCATTTGCTCTGTGTCATTTTTAGTAGCAAAATTGCAGGAAGATCATTCCATGGTTCTAATCCCAACAAGTGGCTTAACTGTGCATTTCTCCCTTAGACCGTCTCCCCTCAAACTGGCTGGCACCAGCTACACCTATAATCCCACCAGAAAGTTCTCTCTGGTTTTGTTTTATGCTAAAAGTAGAACACACTTCACCTTTTAGATGGAGGCTGTAAATATCTGGCATTCTCTTTTTCTGTTGTGTGTTTTATTGTTTTTCTATTGTTGTTTTTACCATCTTATTTTCTTTTGGGACTTTTTGTAATGACTTTGTGCAGCTCATACCTTCATGATGACACTTCTGATCATCTGTTTCATATGGCTGTCACTATTCTTATCTGAAAATAATGTAGTTTACCATAAGTAAAGTGGCAACTTGGCTCTTTGTTTTTTTGTTTGTCTGCTTATGTTTACAGAGTATTTATTTTAATCATTCGGAGTTAGGAGCAGTTTCAAGTTTAATTCCATCCTTTTTAAAACAGGTATTTTTATTCTTTTATAAAAATGAAATTTTAAGTTGGGTGCTGGTGGTTCACGCCTGTAACCCTAGCTACTCAGAGAAGGCTGAGATCTGAGGATCATGGTTCAAAGCCAGCCTGGGCAGGAAAGTCCATGAAACTCTTTTCTCCAATTAACCACCAGAAAACCAGAGGTGGAACTGTGGCTTCAAGTGGTAGAGCACTAGCCTTGAGCAAAAGAGTTCAGGGACAGCACCCAGCCCCTGAGTTCAAGCCTCACAGCTGACCCAAAAATAAATAAATTAAAAAAATATATACACACACACATATATATGTGTATATATATAGATATATATATATATAAAGTAAAAATTTACAGGCTTTCACTTTTTATACTTCTTTCTACTTTATATTTAAACCTGAGATTTTTTTCACTTATTCATATCATGCATTGTAGAAATCTCATTTTCCATCCTGTATCTTTTTTACTGGTATTCACCTGATTAAATATTGCTCTAAAAATCACCAAGACAATAGAAAGGCTCAAGACTGCACCCAAAGCAAGGTGTTCTTGAGTGGAGTGAAAGATTGCATCAGTGGGTTAGCCACTGCCCTGTGAATATCCTTCTTTGCAGTAGGTCAGTGTTCTAATGAATTTGCTTTATTATTATGTTCTGTCTCTAGGAACAGTAGCCTCATTGCACAATGTAGTTACCTAGGTTGCCTACCAAAATCCTGATGCCTGGAGCCCAGCCCCTTGGACTCTGGGGTGCAGCCCTTGATACTGGGAGTTCCTTTTAGGGTCCTTTAGATTCTGATTAAAATCCAAACTGCTGGGATCCACTGCAATGGGAGCCTGAGTGTGCAGGTACTGTCTTTGAATCGGCTGAGTGGATAAGATTGGGGACTTCGCCTTCCTTCCCTTTGATTTTATTTAGTCATATTCCTATACTTATGCCCTTATCTTTGTCTTGCCAGGCGATATGGCCCTTTCCTGTAATCCTAGATACTTAGGTAGACATCAGGGAGATTGCAGTTTGAGCCAGCCCAGGCAAAAAAAAGTTGGTAAGGCCCATCTCAGTTGATAAGCTGGGTTGTGGTGCACTTTTGATCCTCAGTATTCAGGAGGCTATGGTGAGATTATGGTTTGAACTGCGACACTTGGAAATATGTATAATTTTAAAAGCATGTCTACATATGATTACACCTGTGTATGTATATAAAATCATGGTCAGAGATAGGTACTTGATTTATACTTTCTCTACAAGATTTAATCATTGATTATGGGGCTTTCTTTTGCCTATTAGATGGCAAGGCATACTGGAGATAGCCAAGATGAGAGATTGCTTAGTTTCTCTACACCATGGTGGTTTAGAGAAAGACATCAAGGGTCCTTGCCTGCCATATACTATGCTTGTGCTATTTTGGTTATCAACCAAGTTTGCTTATGTTGAAGATGAGGATGAAGTAACTTTCTTTTTTTTCTTTTTTTTTGGGTCCGGTCATGGGGCCTGAACTCTGGGCCTGGGCGCTGTCCCTCAGCTCTTCAGCTCAAGGCTAGCACTCTATCACTTGAGCCACAGTGCTACTTCCGGCTTTTTTCTTTTTGCTTATGTGGTCCTGGGGAATCGAACCCAGGGCCTCATGCATGCAAGGCAAGCGCTCTACGACTGAGCCACCTTCCCAGCCCCTGAAGTAACTTTTATTAAGTCATTGGTCACAAGACCACATATGCTCACACTAAGGAACATCTATATAGGCAACCTATGTTGTCTTTCTCAGTCTGCCAACTACCCCTAAAAAGGAACTGTTGCTGAGATCCCCTACCAAGGTGCTTGCCTGCCTTTAGAACAGTACTGTGTGCCTGTTCCTTGTAGCGACAGAAAACATGCTTTAAAGACCCAGAATTGGAGGACAGATGGGATGTTGGTAGGAGGATCACGGTCCCAGAGTAGCCTAGGCAAAAGTGGGAGACATCTGAAAAACTAAAGCAAAAGCCTGGGAGCTTGGCTCCAGTCGAATAGCACTTGTTAGTCCCTGAGTTCAATCCTCAGTGCCCCCCTCTGAAAACAAACTAGAGCTGGTTTAAAAAAGTGATGTATCTTTCCTTCTCCTAATCCAGCAGGACAAAGGGAATGTGAACATTAAAAGTAGCTGTACATATTTTTTTTTCTATCATCTTGGTACATTCGTTTTTCTGTACTTATCCATCTTGTCTAACTTGGGAATGGGTGGTTGTTGACTAATTTTGATAGTTATCTCAAAGACAGGCCCTCTATGCTAACATTTTTGCCTTTAATTGGGAGTGTGGTGCTAGTATAAAGTGTTGGGGTTGCAAGTATGCTCTTCCAAGGACTCAGAAAGTAGTTCATTTTGCTTGTACTCAGAATGCTGTGACCACCCTCAGCCTCAACAAGGTGAGCCTGGAGAGCAGAGCAACCACAAGGGTACAAGATGGGAAGCCATTTGGAGTTGAGGTGGGACCTCAGGGAAGCTTAGGGTGATGTGGCCCAGAGTTTTCTACTGGTGTGGATAGGCCATGGGGCCTTGGGGCACTAAAAAGCCCAGCTGTTTTATGTAGGTTTATGCCACACTTGGGAAATATATCTGCTTGGAAGGAAGGAAGTCCTTTTTTCTGGAAGAGAGGGAAGCAGATATCCAGATACTCTCCCCTCGAACTTGAGCTTTCGGATGCAAGGAATGTTGTGATAAATTTTTAGAGCATTTATTATTTTGTTTTTGAGAGTACTGGAGGCTGCATCCAGAGCTTCATGCTTATCTACCACTTAAACTATACCTGTAGCCCTTATTTCTCCATTATGTGAATAAATTTTATTTTTGGGTCTGGTTGTGGGACCTGAACTCTGGTCCTGGACGCTGTCCCTCAGCTCAAGGCTAGTGCTTTACCACTTGAGCTACAGCACCACTTCCGGCTTTTTTTCTTTTTGCTTATGTGGTGCTGGGGAATCGAACCCAGGGCCTCATGCATGCAAGGCAAGTGCTCTACCACTGAGCCACCTTCCCAGCCCCATGTGAATAAATTTTAGTATTTTATACAATCAATGAAGAGTAATTACTAAGATGTTGAAGCTACCATAGTAAAAATTACACCTAATGTTTGAGACCTTTTGGATGCATGCAAAAAAGATATGTTTAAAAGTGACAACATTTCTCCAACAATGTATTTACTGGTAGATGGTTTCAAATACAGATTTTGGTTAAAAAAATGTGAATGCATTAACAAACCCTAAGGGACAGTGTGTTGGTCCTGGGTTCAAACTCTAGTACTGGGTGTACATACTCTCTATTACTGAGTGTACACATGCATGCTCATTCGTACATAGAAGCATCAAAGCTAGAGGAGAGTACAAATGGAGAAAGAGAGAAAGGAAAAAGCTAGAGAGGCCTAGCACCTTGTCCCTGTCCTGCCTGGGTGATGTTAACCCTTTTAGGTTTTACCATTTATGTAGTTATTTAGTGCTGGTACCAGGGCTTGAACTCAGAGTCTTGTCCTGTTACCAGACTTGCTTATTCTTGGTTGGTCCTTTACCACTTGAGCCATGCTTCCAGCCCAGCAGGTTTTGTTATTTTGGAGATGAAGTATCTCGACTTTTCTGCCTTGGCTGGCTTTGAATTGTCATCCTGCAGATCTCGGCCTCCTAAGTAGTAGCTAGGATTATAGCATGAGCCACTAGCACCTAGCTTTTATTTTGTCTTTGATATAATGAAGTCTTGCTGATTTTGCCCAGGCTGGTTTAGTTTCGAGATCTTCCTGCCTCCTGAGTAGCAAGGATTACAAATGTGTACCACTATACCCATCTTAGAGTTTTAACATCTTGACTCTTTGTAAATAAGAGAATTAAAATGAATGTTAAATAGCCTTTGCTTGGCAGTAGTTACTTGTGTTGTTTTGAGTGCTTTGAATTAATGTTTTGCATTTATTCTGACTTCTACTCCTCAACCCTATTCCAAGCTGTAAAGGCATTGTCACCTGTAAACATTCACACCTGAAACCCTGGACTCCTTTTGGGTAGGAGAAAGTGCAGGATTCTGATTTGCACACATTTACTTCTAGTATGGGCCATATTCATCGCCTAGGTAGGTGTTCATTAATGTGTCACCTCAGTGAAGGTTGTTTGTGACTGAATTTTCTAAGTGCTTTGTGATTTGAAGCAAAATTTCCCCCTTGGAAAACTTCACTGTGGAGTAACAATTGTCTCCACAGATGGGGGCTCTCTGGTGGAGTCCAAGCTGGCCTCACTAAGGGTGCTGGTCTCTAAGGGAGTAGGAAGGATGTGGATGGCTCAGGTGTGAGGAAGAGAGATTAGACCTTCGACATGTATTCACTTTGGGGGTCAGCCTTATGTAGTTCTTCACTTTGAATGTGTTGTATAATATGCCTGAGTATTAGTCCATTAATATATGTAGATAATTTATAAATACTAGGTTGAACCACCAGACATTGTTGTATTCAAATTGCTTTGGTTTATTAAAGTGGCAGATGTTACAGTTTAACAACATGTGTGTGTTGGAGTGTGTATAACTCCCATTTTTTTTTCTCTTTTCCCCCTGGCCAGTACACCTGTATTTCCCTAAGTACACATTTCCACTCCACAACTATTTCTGTATCCCTAGAAGGGAGGGGGACTTAACATGTATAATATGAAAGCATGGTGCCTTAGTCTCTTTGGGCTTCTATAACAAAACACAAAATAGATGGCTTATACTAATTCATTTCTAACAGTTGTGGTCAGTTCTAGGTCAGGTTGTCTGTGATTACTGGTTTGTAGGGGGCTCCTGCTGAATTCTCAGATGATGGAGGGGAAAAAGCTACCTTGGCCCTCTCATGAAGGCCCTCCAGGATCTAATTAATTCCCACAGGGGCTTCACCCAGGGAGTTAAAGTTTGAAGAGGAATTGGGAGCACCAT